GGAATTCTTCTAATGCGTGGAGGGAACTTCTTGTGCAGCTGAGAGACCGTTAATGAGCGGTCAACCTGGAACCTAGTCAAATCTCTCTCATTGGGTCCTCCCCATAGTCTTCTAACACCAACTCTTCACACATACTAAGGTACCCCGGGTAAACTCATGGACTTGACTAGATCGTCGATACTGTCCATCTTCGCTGTTTTCAATGGATTTTAACAAATATCCTCGTTAACAATTCTCGTAAAACAGGATTTCTTCACGGACTCCTCGTCGCCTGAGATATTTTTTTTCATTTCGTAACCGATATCTTCACTCCAACCATTCGATAAACAAGACAAATCCACTCTCTTTCACGTTGGCCACAGTAAGAGCCGAGCTCTTGTTGCGAAACAAAATTTCGATTTGTTTATGACTTGCTGTATGGTAATGCATTCGTTTCGTCGCCTTTTGACATCACGTCGGCCGTTGAAGTGTTAAGCCTATATTAGGCACTATAATTTTATTGAAGATTCGAGAGCAGATTAAAATTAAAACTCTTTGACGATGTTAAATCGTGCGAAAAAAAAATTGTTTGCAGTTCATTAATTGCTGTTCAAGATGATAAAAAAGAAGGCTTTCCTTTGATATAGGCCGTAGATTTTAACAATTTCTTAATCGGTTCTATTAACCTTTCACTGCTTCCCTTAGCCAAGATTGTAGCTGTTAATAACCTTTGTGTAGTGTGAAGTAAGGGAATTCCCTTTGGCCGTGTTTTTAAATCCGAAGAATTTTAAAGCTATTTTTCTCATGACCGGACTGAGTTCTTGTGACTTGCAATTCAAACTTTACGTTTCCCTTATTCTCCTGGTTAATTCAAATAACCGACGCCCCCTTGTTCCGTTCTGAAACATATCGAGAGCTTTCTTCGTTTGAATTTCAGACACAACATAAATATTAATTTATTCGTAATTTTTCATCACCTCACAACGGTCTGTAATTACATATAAATAACAACATGCCCGAAAGTCGTTTTACAGCAGTTGTACTGTAATTGAAACCTCGCCAAATGCACAATGGAGATGTTTTGAATCACTTCGACATATCATGTTCGCATTAGACGTTTAGAGGTATGCTGGCGAACAAGATTTGGTGTTGTTTTGCTTTGGTTCAATTTAACGTCGCTCTCCTGACCAAGAACACGTGGGTTTTCAACGTCGAAGAAATGACTGAACTCTTTATGCCCCCTCCAAATAGGTATTTAAAGACTAATTCTGGGTCTATTCTGTAAGCTGTTTAAATTTCGCCTTCAAATGTTTGTAAAAAATATATTCTTGATGAGAAATTTGGTCCGTCTCGTTAAGTATGATTTAGCTAAAGGCTAAAGACTGTTTATTTAGACTCATTGCAGCAATATAGAAAATGGCTGAATTACAAAGCTATTTACAAAACATATAACACTAAAATGTAATACAATAAATCCAATAATACTAAAAAATGGATAATTATACAAGCCAGTAGGTGTACTGACAAACTCTTGCGTGACAAACTCTTGCGTGCGCTTGGTCCTACAAGTAGGACGCGTGGAGCGGCTAATGCCAGATCTAAGATTATAATTATGCACAAACTCTTCCTGTTTGGGGAGCATAAAATGCAAGGGGTGAGTCTCATTCCGGAGTCTATCAATATAAACTTGGCATTGATCTAGATAGGCATGGATAATGCACGCATGCTTGTTAGACTAATTTGAATAAATTAGATATATCAACAAAGTTGAAGTGGTAAATTGGCCACCGCAACGATTACAAAAGCTGACGTTTCGAGCATTAGCCCTTCGTCGGAGCGATGCAAAACGTGTCCTTTCATTCACAACACTGATAAAATATCGGGACCTAAACGATCCATTAAAATCACCGATCACTTCACGTGCACCTCCGCCAACGTAATCTATTGCATAACTTGCACTTATTGCAAAAAGATATACATCGGCGAAACAGGCAGAAGACTAGCTGACCGATTCCGAGAACACCTTCGAGACTCGGAAAGGAATGACAAGGACACATCGAAACCAGTCGCTAGACATTTTAATTTACCTAATCATTCTAAGCAACATATGGCAATCTGCGGTCTTTCCTT